TAAAACTAGGACTTGATGTACTGGCTGATATTTAAGGACTGGTCAGGATTAACAGACTACTGAAGGTACTTGGGCGTATTGTTAAAACATTATATATGATTGGTTGTCCTTTACTCTTAGCTGCGTATTGCCTTTAGCAAGTTCACTTGCAAACTTGGGAGGGAAAATGGATTTCTGACTCAGGTTATCAGTTCAGATATTGGAAATCTGGGTACCGTTTCTGCTATTCCACAGGCATGCTCTGTCACCAAAGGTAGATATTATAGTCTTTGTTCCTTACCTTCCAGTTTGTGGACTGGGGATAACAGTACTTCCAAATTCCCGGGGGTGTTCGGAAGAAGTTCATGCTGTGATACGAACCATCCATTAAACTATCTAAAATAGGTGGACAGCTTCTCTGATTGGATTTACTTTTGCTTGGGATAGGTAGAGTTATCTCCCAAACTGTGGAACTGTTGCATTTGAAAGTCCATTGCTGTTTGGATGACTGCTCGCCTAGTGCTTTTGATAATGAGCTGCAGCACCGCTTTGTACGCAGAATTTCTGTGGAGATTGACACTTACTTTCACTTACTCTCTTGGTACCTTTGTTGTTGTATCCAAAAAATGGAAAAATGCGAGGCATGACGAGTTCAGTGCTGAAGGCTGCTATGTGACAGAGACTTAGGGTGGAAATGCTAATGAAGTTTCCAATTTCCATGTGGAGAAAGCAAGTCAGATTGGCAGGTGTATATCAAAGTAGTGATTACTGAGCAAAACAAGAATAGTAGAAATACCTGTAACTGCAAATGTCTGCTGGGATTTTAGGGGTCTGGGCTGCTGCTCTTTCTTCCAATCGGTATAAGAATCTTTTCAAGACTATACTATGTGCCATTTAATTTATGAGTGTTGCAGTTACTTTTTGTGCGTAGTTGAAATAATAATTTTAGTTATGGTGGAATATGGATACTGTTTTTTCAGATTGTAATTAGATGAAAGATATGCTGAACTAGTATTTCACCGCGTATGACAGACACACGCTATTGTTTATTAACACATGCATAACCCTGACGAAGTACAAAGACTGATAATTGTGCTGTGGGAAATTAGAGTTGCTGGCTTTGGCTGTGCATTGAATGTTGATGGTATACAGACAAGTATTTCTGCATGCTTAAAACACTGTTTGTCTGAAATTTTAGATTCCAGGTGGATCAACAATTACTACAAACGATTACATTTTGGCATTAAACTTCTGTGCTTGGAGTTGGCTTCTGGGAATCTCGTTCACTTTATGCTCTGTTTGGTTTGCTGTGATATTAGGTAACCCAGCATTTTATAGAGATGTTCAAAATAGTCGTCTGTCCGTGAGCAGCCTGCAGTGAACCAAGCAAGAGATTTAAAGCAAATAAAGCAACATGGAGTCACTTGCATTAAAGACAAAGTTGTTACTTTAAATCTCCTCTGCAGGTACCGTTTATGGGGTTCTGACAGGGAGATTCGTTGAGATGTGTGCACAGGACAGTCCTGTCCCAGCAGAGAGCCGACTAGGGGAGCGCTTGAATGGCGGCGGTGTTTAGCATACAGTTTGCCAGAGATCCTTTTGGATTCTGGGACTGTGAAAAGCAGATTAAGGTATTCCTGTCTGCACCTTTGTGTCGCCTCCACCAGCGAATTTGCAGAGTCAGGTGAGGCGGGTAGGAAAGAATTGGATAGAGGAAAGATTATCTGGATCCATAAATATGTGATTTGCCTAACTTTTGAAGGCTGTGGTGATTTATGGGGAAATATAAATAACTTTAATCTGACAGTGACTGACACAAAATTATGATGATGTAAAACCTCATCTGCATAACATATCGGTATAAAAATATTCTGAAAGTAGTAGGAGGAAGAGAACCAGTTTGAGACATTTCCTAATTCAAGATTTAAGAGTATTTGAGTAATATTTCTCTCTAACAGATATCTAATGAGGCACGCTATGGCTTTCTTTATATGAGAGCAAACTGACCTTCAGTGAAGGTCTTTTTGGAGATGACTTCATTAAAAAAAAAAAAAAAAAAAAAAGAGGAAACTGTGCATTTTAACTCCTCTAATACTGGAAGTGGGTAATATCCTGATTTGAAAATAAATTCAGAAAGCTCAGAAAGACAGGGCTGAGATGCTTACCCACTTACTGTTCTCCTCTGAAGAAATGGAATGGAATTATTTGCCTTAATATAATTCTGCAGCATAGTCAAGGAGCGTTTGTATAGGAGTCCTCTGAACATGTAGTCAGCGAATGTTTGAAGACTGAATCCCAGATAGAGTTTATATTAGATTTTCCTCTAATGATGTGCACAAAAATGAAAAACAACTTAGAGCTGGGTGTATATAATTATCTAAAATTGCCTTTAACTTAACCTGACAAAGGTATTGCACCCTTCTCGTTCCTTACGTGTCAATTTTATCAAATCCTCCTCCACTACAAAGAGAAGCTCAACATAATGATGACTCTACAAGTTGAATTAGGAGCGCGTTTATAACCATCTAAACACAAACCAAAGAAAACGTGGCAAAGCAGATTTGTGATTCACTTTCTTGTTCCAGTAAGCATGTCCTGCCAACCTGGGCATTTTTGAGAAGGACATGAGAGGGAGATTGATTTCCATTAATCAGTAAGCGTTTTTTAAGAAATTAGCTTTATTTGTGAGCTGTGTGTTTAACGCAATATGCCATATACCCTGCTGTACAGCAAAAGAAGAGAAAATGTTTGCAAAATGAGTTGGGAAAGTGTGTGTGTGTGATTTAGCAGTTGCTGTATTCCTTTTCTTAATCCTGCAACAATCAGCATCTATTATCACACATAAATATGAATTCTGGGTGATAATGCAATAATTGGTTTGCAGCCAGTTTGAAAGGGAAGGATATGATGCATTAGATCACTAACTAAAATTAAATACATCAGGGATTTACCTAAAACCAACTCTTATTTTTGATGCTGTCAGCAGGGAGTGATGATTGTAGATGGGACGCTTAGAACGCTCTTCATGCTTTCCCTCAAAGCGCTGTACAGTGGTAGAGAACGAGGTATTACAAAACTGCAAGATTTTCCTAAAGATGGTGGATTTCTCAGAATAGTAGAAAGTAGTTTCCCTATTTTGTCTGTCTTTGGCTATGGAGGTACCGTGTTGGCCTCTTCTCCATTGACCCTTCTGGGGCTGATTCTAGCACAGTGCATGATGGTGACGTGGTGACTGGGTTTCCATTCTGCCTGTGTGGTTATTTAGGAAGAAGGGTAAGGTGAGAAGGAAGAAGAGATTGTGTTTATACAGTTGCAATCTAACACCACCATTTTAACCTTGAGATAAACTTTAATTTGAATCAAGAGGAATTAAGATTAAGAGAAAAGAACAAGCTCTGAGGTACTGAGAAATGCATTTTAATACATACCACTTTTACAAAGAGTGCACAGGAGAACTGTTAATTCTGTATATTTGATCTTCTAGCTCCTTTATTTCAGCCTTATGGGATTTTTCTTTCCCAGTAAATATTTTAAGAAACTTGTAGATTTTGTCAGAGGCCATGCTGTCGTGGAAAATGCGGTAGCACAAACCCTGGAAATACATGCAGACTGAAAAACAAGAAATCAGAAATCAGTCCTACTTTCATGCGGCGTGTACAACCTAGCTTTGCGTAAAGATGAAAAATTGTGAGCAGTGAGTGCGATGATGAAGGATTTACTACTGCAAGCAAGAATTTCCATTCTTTAGTCGTGTCACGTACGTTTAAGCATATGATGTGCAGACTGTTGCTTCGAAGCTCTCACATGGCTGGCTCTGTAGTAGTGTATTACCTAATTATAGTTGCATGTTGAAAACTGCACATTTTACATATGCACATATAACATTTTCTGGGATTTAACATCTAACTGGAAGCAGTAACTGCTTTTTGCCTCCTACAGCAGGCTGTGAATCATAAGGAACGCGCAGATGAGGCGTTGTTGCTGTTGGAAAATAGTTGACTTAAACTTAGGATTAGGGTTTGCTACACGAGGGCAGTTAAAAAAGGTACCATGAATTAATTTTTAAAGTGACTGGTTCAACTCCATTTAATCTCTTGTGCAGATGTTCTTTTCAGAATTAAATAAACTGTAGTTTAGTGTAGTTACTAGAGTGAACTAAATTAAGCCAAATAAAAGGCCATTCTAATTAAAAAGGGATGGTTAGTAGTGGTTTTACTTGACTTTAAAATGAACTGAGTGATTTTAAATTCAGGCATTTATTTAATTCAGGTGAATTTTTCTGAATGCCCCTGTGTAAACAGCTGCTTATAAAAGCTCATTTTTTGGTAAATAAGCATTGCTTTCATGCATGCACTATTATAATCCTTCGCTGCAGTTTCATACTCTTTTGGTTCGGTTGCATTCTTCCTGCTATGATTTTATCATATTGTATTTTATTTACAGTGTTAAATATGACCTTCTCATTATCACTCATGTGAAATTTACTATTGGAAATAGTAAATAAATAAATGAGCAAAATGCACAGGGTCATATATTCATTAGTTTTTCTGTAGCATTCTTAAAAAGAAAAGCTTTGCTAGAGAATAGACTCATTGCAGCAAAATTTTACTTAAGTCTTGTTTCTACAAATAAATTCTTCAGCTTGTGGGTATGTTACTTTACAGAACTGGGATTTAGATAAGGGTCTGCTCCTGTTTTTTAGGGTTGTTGACATCATCTTTTTTGGCTAGATGACTAGAAGGATTTAGTCCATAACATCTGTATCTCATACGTTAATGCTGATTTTTGTGACAAAGATAGGGAAACAGAGGAAAGCACGCATGTAGATATTACAGTTATTTTCACTGAATTGCCCACATTCTCAATTTAGAGAATGAAAATTATGTTGGGATTCAGTTCTGCCTGTGTTCATGGATAACTGTTCCTGATTTTAGCAGACTTTTACTTTGTAAGTGCTTCCTGAAATGTTCTTGTGTCAAAAGCATGTCCACTGTTACATTTTTGTTTCTGTTGTCTGGTAGGATGATGAAGTGGTTCTGCAGTGCACCGCAACTGTCCACAAGGAGCAACAGAAGCTGTGCCTTGCTGCAGAAGGATTTGGGAACAGGCTTTGCTTTTTGGAATCCACATCAAATTCTAAGGTACAACTGACTCTATTTAAATATCGTGAGTCAAGTAAGGATACAATTGTAATATTGCCTGCTTAGATGTAGTATACACAGATCTGCCTAGGAGAGTGGACACATCAAATCTATCTACCATATAATGAATATTTTACCCCCTTTGAAATTGAATCCCTAATTTTGTCATGGCCCTTTGGCTGGACTAGCGCAGTGCTTTCTGTTTTGAGCTACCCTTGAAGACTGCCTAGCACAAGCAGCCTGTCTGAAGAGCGTGCTTGTTATTTGGGTTGCCAAAGCCTAGTTGTGGTTGCTGTACAATTTTTGTATGCTGCAACAGAAAAACACATTTAATTACATTGCTTTTAAGACCATGGGAAAGAAAGTGATTATTCCACCTGTGGTAATTTTTGTTCCATGCCATTTACTCTGACATAGTTATTACTTTAAATCCTTCTAATTTCCCAACCTAGCAAAATGATGGTGCAAATATAAAGGTAATCTTGTATAACAAGTTAATTTATCTAATCTGCCAAAGGATGCTATGCAAAATATATAGTGTCTTGAAAAAAATAATTTTCTTTGCTCTTTGGTGTAAAACATTGGGGATATGTTTTGCATTCACATATGTATAAATAAATGTTATTGAAGACCAAAATGAGCCTTCTGAGAGCAGAACTGGTTTTGTGACCAAAGTGAGTGAGTATACTTGGAGTTTTTGATTATTCAAAAAGAAAGATGTTTGTTGCTTAACATATATTTATTTTTTCTTCAGATAAAATGCAAATGTTTGGTGAGAGAACTAAATAAAGGTAAAGCCTATGGAAAGATACCTAGAAAGATTTAGTACCAAAATTGTTCTGTTTTTAAACTTGCCAACTTCCATAACGTGACTTTAATTATCTCTGATATATTGCAGAGTAATGTTTCATTTTCTGCGTCTCATCATTTTGAATGTATTATTCATTGCAATAAATTTTTCACTGGGATATTAATGATTCATTATAATAGCAGAGATCTTGATGAATTCATTTGCGCTGCTCCATTTTCAGTGAATCTTTTCAACAATAAGATATGTGCCTGGGTGGAACTAGCTGCAGTGCTAGTCGCCTGTAAGGCCAGAAAATTATTTAATGAATTTATTATCACACAGTAAGTTTGGATATCTCATGTCTCACTATATAAAACACCTGAATGTTGTTGTCTTTAAGAAAGACAGTGTAAATTTCAAACCACCTTCCTTTGTTTCCTCACTGATGCCGCCTCTTAACAGCGCTTGGTGAAGCAATAGTTATTCTGCTAGTTCTGCATAAGCTTGGAGAAGAAAAGCAAACAAAAGAACAACATGCAGCTCATCCTTATTTTAATTTTTAAGAGTTGACAGTTCCTAGGATGAGCTCATTTGAAGTCATTTGGAGAGTTAAATACTGAGGGAGACAGAAAATTACAAAATCCCTAAAGCAAAGTTGACTGTAAGTAAGAGTAAGTAAAAATTGTTTTCTCCCCAGTGTCTATGTCCATAATGTATTTTGTATTATTTAAGAAAGATCATAGAAAATACCAAAAGAATGAGCATATGATACTTAGCAAAATGTTTCAGCAGAGTTCTTGAACCAGTTAAAAACATTTCCCTGAATGTCCACGTGAATATTTTCCAGTTGTAATGGAGTCGTGTTGTGTACTTCAATGAAAACATCAGTGGCCAAGGAAAAACAAATTTTGCGTCTGAATTACAGCCAGGTCTCAAGGACAAGGTACCAAACCAAGCGCTGGTTGTAAATGGTAATAATTGACAATAGGCCAAACACACATAATAGTTATCTATCCTTTTAATTATAAATAAGGTAACACTTACATAGCAATACAGTATGCCCGAGGGATCAGTTTTGCATACCTGAATCTGAAGACCAAAGATATGTGCCTAACTAGGTAGTTCTGTTGCAGTCATGTCAAAAATCTAAAGACAGCCTTGTTCGGTCATGGGCAGCTGCAGTGGGTTGTTACACAATTCTGTACAGGTTCGAAGTGTGGCCTAAATTTGGTTCTATGCAGCATTCCAGGTTGCGTTTCTTTAGTGACTGGTAGTCGGGCATTTATGATCTTTGCTTATACCACTGGGGCCTCAGGTATCATCCTGTCATTGTACTTCCAAGATTTCTGCGGTCATCCTGTGCTTGTATTCTTGAGGATCCCTGATACAATCTCCTGCTTTTCTTCCGCACCCTTCAAGAAGTGGCTTCTGGTAATGTAACTGATGTCTTGTGAGCACAGCCTACTTACGTGCACTTTCTTGCTGTAGGATCATTAAATGGTTCACACTACAAAAATAACGGTGAACTAGAAGACCTATATTGACAGAATGGTTTGGCAACTATTTACTATTAGCATTTATCCTATTAGGACAGTAATGCTGGCTGGCACATTGTGAAAGTTTTTAAACTGGAATTGTTTGCCGTAGTGTGGATCTGCAACACAATTATTTCTTTGGAGCATTGTGTGGATTGTATCAGCGGTGTAGGAAAACAGATTTTGAAAGCATCATAGTAACAAAAGATTGATGATAATAGTTGGGCTAAATTAACAAACACTTCAATAAGCGTTACAGTCAGTGCACATGTGTTCGAATTTCAAAACTCTTTCCAGAATCCACTTCTTTCACTTTTTTTGGAAGCCTTCCATGATGTCAAATCACTTTACTGATCAAAAATAATCCTTTTTATTTCTTTAGCTCTGCATATCTGTTGGTTTTCTGTATACCTTAAAAAGTGTTGCTTGAATTAGCTCTGCATATCTGTTGGTTTTCTGTATGCCTTGAAAAGTGTTGCTTGAATTAAAAAAAAACCAAGAGATTTGCATATATTTGGAGCTACATTACAGCTCTTTCAGGCTTGAGCGTGGTTTGTTTTTTTTTTTGTTGCAAATGGAAAGACCATCTTTTGCATGTAGATTTGGTATAGGAGTCTTTCTGAGAAGAAATAAGTCTCAGTCACGCAATGGCATTTTATAAGTCAAATTTCTAAGTATAGTTGTACTTGTGTATGTTTTTGTATATTGGCTTAGTTGTTCTTGTAGGAAGATGCATGTAGTGTGACGTGTGAGTAGGGAATCATAATTCAGGCTGGAAGGGTTGTCAGGAGGTCTCTAATCCAACCCCCCTGCTCAAAGCAGAGTCAGCTCTGAGATCAGACTGGGTCTTTCAGGGCTTTATTCAGCTGGGTCTTGAAACCCTCCAAGGATGGAGATGGCACAACCTCTCTGGGCAGCGTGTTCCACTGCTTGGCTCTCCTCAGGCTGATAAAGCTTTTGCTTGTGCCCTGGAGCCACCAAGATCCCCCAAGTTCTTTTCTACAGAGCTGCTCCCCAGGCAGTCGGACTCCTAACTGGGTGAGGCGGTACCGTTCTTTTGTACGACAAATGTAAGGTTGATGCAAAATGAGCATTTGAGTTAGTGGATTGGCTTGGAGCCCTGAAAGAGGCACAGTGTGGTTGGATTCTGGATTTGTGATGGTGCTGGCCATCGAGGGATGAGGGAGGTGACGTTGTAACCATTCTGTCAAGTTTTACCTGGGAATATTTTCTAGCTTTTTCTGATGATCAAGTAAAAGCTATTTTACCTTGTATTGCATCTTTGTTATTCATTATTTTAACTTGGAAAGTCAGGTAAACGTAGTTGCTACACTTGCCCTGTAATTTCTGATCATCTGTAACTTTCAGGAGTATAGCTGCTTCCTGATTGTTGCGCAGTGCACATCAGCAAATTCCTTCAAATGGTCCTCTATGTTCAGGAATAAAACAATAGATAAACAAGGTATCAGGTGTAAGTTGCATATATTTTGAGTAATGGAAAACAGTTCTAAGTATAACACAATCAAGACAAACATATAAATGTCTCACCTGTAGCGATGTAGTAGCTCAAGTGAAAATAATTGTAATTATATTTAATTCTGAACCCATTTCAAAGGAAATGTATCTCAAAACAGATCTTGGTGTAGGGATAGGTTACACTTGCAAATGTGGTGATCATATTCAATATATAAACCATCAAAACTTTTTAGGATGTAAGAAGCAGGAGCAGCAGCAAGAATAACAAAAACCGAAGAAGACAAGCTGAAGACAAGCTTTAAAATGCTTTGTTTGCTTGTCCCATCCTATTATTTCTCCAGGTGGTCTTGGCAAAGTTATGGGAGGAGAAGGCAGAAATTTTGGTTTCTTAAGTGAAAAGAAGAAAATCAGAGATGGATGTCAGAAAAAACCCACAAAGAGCATAAACCTCTTTTTTGAAGATGGCAAGCAAGTGATTTTTGTATCATCATTTGCTTGACTTCTAAATCCTTAAATCCTTGTGTGGAAGATCATCACTTTTATTAAGACAGGATCTATGAATATTTAAATCATCTAAACGGCCAGTGAGATATAACTCTTTACATTTGAAAATTAGATTTTTTTTATATGTAAAGAGGTTGCTAATACGGGGAAGGACATTCATTAAAAAATTATTTTCTGCCATTTCATTTAAGACCTAAATAATGCCATTGATTATTGATAAGTAAACAAGCTGGAGCTTTTTTTTTTTTTTTTTTTTAGAAGGTGTATGTGTTGTGCTCAGTTTTGTGCAAAATGTTATTCTGCAGAACTGTATCCCTCTCTAATACATAAAGAATGAAGTTACTAAAATCATACAGGTACATAAATATCTTCAGCATATGTGACAGCTTGATCATCTTCATACCAACTGCTAATTAAGTAGTTGTCCTGTTATAAAAATATAACAGTCTGAAATGAATAGCTGGAATTCTGGCTTATATTAAACTTTAAAACTGAACAGCCATAGATAGCTGTATCAGACAGTATTGCCCCCAATTCATACACAGCTGCAATCTGATCTTAATTTTCTATAAATTTTTTTGTGCTATTTCAGTCCACTGTGTTGGTCTGAATTAGGCAGACTCTACAGCAATTTCTCAGAAAATAGGGAAAATAACTGAACCTTGATATCTGACATAAGTATTAGAGAATAGTGT